GTCCCGCAGGCTCGCCCAGCCGAGCTCCTGCAGGCGCGCCCAGCTGTCCGAGAAGTCCGCGAAGAAGGCGTCCTGGTCCGCGGCGTAGGCGTCCACCCACCTCTGGCGGCGCGCGGAGGAGGGGGGCAGGGCGAGGGGGGCCGGCCCTGTTGAGGGGGCAGGTGGGGTCTTCCTGAGCGGGCCCCTTCCCCCTTCTGGAGGCCTCGGAGGAGGCTTCTCCGAGGCTCACGTTGCTCCCGTCGCACTTGAGGACCACATGAATAATCTCGAGCACCCAGAGAAGTATCAAAACAGTGTCGAACGAGTATCGCCTCTCAGGGCCCAAGACGTGAAGACCCTCCAGTTTCGGTACTTCCCTGGTGCTCGAAATTCTTCCTGGTGCTCAAGGCTAGAGCAAGTTGGCACATCATAGTCCAAGGCAGGAGGGCTCCTACACGGGGCGGGGTGTCTCCTTCGAAGGCCGACTATAGCCCATCCTGGCCCCACTCTTGCGCGCCGCCAGTCGCCTCTTGAAGCTGGGGTCCTGGACCAGAGCCATATCGCTCTCCAGCATGATGGTATTCGAGGCCGCGCACCTGTACTGCGGTTTGCCCTTGCTTGTCGTCTCGGGGCTGAAGGACTTCTCGACCAGAGCCTTGAAGTACGAGTTGTCGAACCTGCTGGGGTCCGCAGTCCACGCCCCGTCGAAGCCGGACCGGTCGAGGTGGCACCTGCCGACGGCATGAGCACCCGAGAGCGCCACGATGTCCCTGTCCTGAAAGCCCTTGGAGTGGAAGATCTGCCGCAAGTGGTCCGCGCCCTTGTCGCCATCTGGTAAGCGACCGTCCTTTGAGCAGGAACCGACCGTCCCGGCATTCCTATAGGCCTACCACCAGATGTTCTTAGAACTCTTGTGATCTAAAAACAAAAACAATGTTCTTAGATCATAAGCCCGATGTGATTTAAAAACAGTTCCAGCCAGAACTGTTCTAAGAACATCTCGTGGAAACCACACGAGGTTCTTGGAACATTGTCTGGTGGGCCTACAGACAGGCCAAGACGCTTCGCCACTGCTTGAGTCCTGGGACGGCACGGACGCGGCGGAGGACCGTGCGTCTACCCGGCCGAAGCGCGTGGCGATGTCCGGGCCGCCCATCAGGCGAATGGACACGTTGGCGGCCAGGGCCCACAGGTCCGCGTGCGAGATGAGGTCTGGGCAGTACTTGCCCGAGATGTTCGAGAGGAGGGGGATCGCCACCTCCGGCAGCCCGGCGTTGGCGCCGAACTTGCTCTCGCCGCCGTCCTAGCAGGAGAGGAAGCAGAGACATGCACTCTAGGTCGCATAACCAGTAACTTCGAGCATCGCACCCCGCGATGCGCGGCTTTCTTCGCGCAGACGCGCCGCCGCCCTGGACGGCGGCGCCTCTCCAACCGAAGCTGCGAGGCGCAAAGCGTGGGCATCTGCGCAAGCTTTTGGAGGTCCGCGCAGATTTCCTGGTTCGGCGCTGGACCCCCCTCAGTGGCGCCGGAGGCGCCGCCAGGGCTGCCCCGCGCAGATCCAAGAGATCCGCGCGGACCTAGAACTGTCCATTCCCTAATCGGCAAGCAGCTGGGGCTGGTATGTGTACAGCAAACTCGCCATCGCTCGGACGTCCATTCCCCGTATCTTGTTTCGATGAGGGATGCGTTTTCTTATTCAGCGGTTCGGCATTGGGCGGAAGGGGGGGGGGATGAGGGGCCAGTCTAGCTCAGGACCTCTGCTTACTGCCACTGTTTGCAGCAGTGCGTCCCATGGGAGAGATTCCGCCTGCTCGAAACACGCGCCCAAAACAGCCAAGATCTGCTCCAAGGGGGGGGGGGAGGGGGGGTGCGAGGGCCCGCGCCGATCGGCAAAACACTGGATGATAAGACGACGGCGTGCGTGTTCTTTGTTCCCTCGACGATCCAGGATGCTCCTCGAGGGTCCTCGCCGAGGGAAGAGGAAACGCACACGTCCGAGAGATGCGATGCCAGAGAAAGGAGCTCCCCGAACGCCCCCTGGTACGCCTTGCGCCAGCCTCGGCCGCCAGGCCCTCCCCAAAAAGCGTGCCAGAGGTGCTTCCTGGGCGTACCCCGCCTCGCCTGGGTGTGCCGCCTCGCGCTCTGCCCAGACCCCCTGGCGCTGTGAAGAAACCGCGACGGGAGGTTTCTTGTCGTTTTGTTCGGCCTCTGTGGGGGCCCTCGCCCAGGCCTCGGGACCGTCAACAAAACGACTCGGGACCCAGACCCCCGACGTCATTCCCCGGCACCGGTTTTTCGTCCTGAACCGTTTTTCGAAGGTCCCTGGCGAGGGCTCCTACGGGGGCCAGAATTGGTGCCGTCTCCTGTTTTTTTTTGGTGTGCCAAAGCAATAAAAAAACATCAATAAAAAATGTGTGATCTCTGGGGACGAACACCCGGTCTCATGGAAGGGGTCCAGACCTCCTGGGGCCCACGTCGTGAAAGAGTCACAAAACGCCTGGGGGTCTGGGCTTGCACGCCGCGGCCACCGGGCCCAAAGGGGTCGCCCGCTCTCCCCGCGGGTGTCCCGCCTCGCGCTCCTGGGCGTGGGCACTTCCTTCTGTCTATACCCGCTGCATTATGGAGCTTCGGGCTCCCTTCCCCAGAAACCCGAGGCGCACTGGATACGGATAAGTTTGCCCCCCCAGAGGCTCGACCTTTCCCCATATCCAGTGCGCCACGGCCTTGTGGCGCCCCTCCAAGAAAGCCCAAGACGCACTGGATATGGATATACGTCTTGTCCACATTGGGCGGGGACCGTTCGAAGCAAGATCACATTGATTATGTCATGTTTTGACCAGCGTCCAGGAAGCGCATCGCGGCATTGGGGCAACCACCGGGGTTGCTGCCGGTGCTGAAGACGCCGGCGTCGTGCCAGGACAGGCGGACCAGGAGCGGGCCGCAGCCTTTCTGGTCCACCAGCTTCTCTAGGTCCCCGACGAGGTGCTCGTAGGTCAGCTGGGCGCAGAGCGTAAGTTCGAGCACGGTGTCGTTTTTGCACTTGTCCAGCATTGCGCTGGCGTTCGCGCTGCAGCCGTTCACCGCGACGATGCTGTCACCCCTCTGCAAGGGCGTCAGCGGGTTGGCCGTGTTCCACGCCTCGGCGAGCCCGCCGGTGAGCGCCATGATCGGCAGGATCGTCCGGCCCTCCATGAAGTCCACGTCGAGGCCGAGCTTCCCGCCCGATCTCTTGTTGAGCATCACGGAGTACGTCTTGTCGTTGACAGGCGGGAGGTCAAGTTTCTCTTTCCCCGGGCAGGCCCTGGAGTCCTCCAGCACCTGCGTCGCCTCGAGCACGCTGTGGTCGGCCGCAGTGGCGGTGGCCTTGCCCTCGTCTCCCGCACAGCATCCCTGCGATGAGCACACCTGGTTGCCCATGGCAGCCCAACGAAACGAGATACGCACAACTTCTGGTTTGCTTGGGCCACGCTGCCAGATTGAGCTCGTATGACTGCGCATCAGGAAAAAAAGGTGCGGAGAAGAACTAGGAAGGAATTGTATGGAAGATTGTGGAAGAGGAGAAGGAAAGGGACAACCACGAGGAGGAAGATGAACGGCGGCGGCGGAGCTCAGCAGGTACACGAGTATGACCTGTGTGAACGTCTAACACCAGACATTCAGCTCAACTGCCTACAGTGCGCTATGTCAGCGGTGCAATCGAACTGTGGGGGGGGTGCTCAGGCGTGCCACAGCTAGCCCAGAACGGAGATGGCCCCGGGGCTGGGCCACGCCACGCGCTCGACAAAACTAAACTGGGAGGCCTATTGTCACAGAGCCGGGGCCAAGTGGCAACGACAGGAACGACACGACGACGAGGACGACAGAGAACGGAACAACGCAAACACAAACAACATCAAAACACAACGCAACGCAAGGGACAAAAATACTGGGCCCCAGGTCGGCCCCGAGTCGCATGGATAAAACGACACAGTGCGTCATCCAGACCAGAGGAGGAGGAGGGGGGACGAGAACGAGGGCGGCTCGACGACGTCACCGAGGACGGAGGAAGAGGGGGAGGTCGGGAGAGGCGGGGGTCCCCGCCTGGATGCGTGGGCTCTGTAACAACTCCAACTCGGTCTCGGCGTCGGGGCGGTGGCGACTGCGGCCCACTTCTCACTCGTGAGCCTCTCTCACGGCCTCCGCTCTTTCCACGGTCTCGCCTCATACTCGGTTCCATATTATTGATCGTCCTCGTCAGAGATCCCACAGTCAGTCCAGCGCCAGCTGCAAGAGTCTCTCCTGGTGGCACTTGGGCGGGGTGCCCTTCTTGGTGGATGCGCCGCACTGGGCCGACGCCGCCAGCACCTGTGCCTAGTCGTGAGTGTAGTTCGCCCTGCAGTACTTCACTTTGCTCGCGAGCGCGTCGTTGGTGAGCGTCTGGCCCGCCCTGATGCCGCCCATGTACTGTCGTGTCTTTGCGGCCGTCTACGCGCCCACTCTGTCTCCCATCAGCTTCAGTGCACCCGCGAGAGCCACCCGCAAGTGCGGGCGTGGACCTCCCAATCTGTCGAGCTCCTCCACGACGCGGCCTTCGCTGATCTCCTGGCGGCGCTGCTGGCGGAGGCGAGTCGCCGACTGGACGAAGTAGTGGCTGCTCAGCTTCGTCGTCGCGTGCGCCTTGTGGTCTGCCTTCAGGTGCGCCGCGAAGAAGACCGCCGACTCGAGGGCCGCCGTGTCCTGCGCATGCTTCGGCGCCGCGCGGATCGCCGTCGGCGCAGCCGGCATGTGCTCCACTGGCATCGGAGCCTCCCACAGCCTGACATGGTCTCCTCGCTGCAGCCCATGCGTCGACACTGCGTTCTCGAAGATGCTCGTCAGAATCTAACCGATCTGACCCCAAGGCTGTGGCTGGTGGTGGTGATGCTGCTGCTGCTGCTGGGGCTGGCGCGCTCGCCCCTGCCGCCCCTGCCGCTGCGGCCGCCGGGCCTGCCATTCCGCGGCCCCCCGCGGCCGCGGCCGCGGCCTCGCCCCGCCGGTCTGCATGGCTAGGCGGGCTGCGAGCGGGGCGCTCGATGGGCTCGCCCCTGCTGCCTGCCCCCGTCGCCTGGGCGCCGCCTCTCGCCGCTTCGCGAGCGCTGGGCGCGGCCTCGCTCTGAAGCGCCCGCGCTGAGGGCGCGGTTGGCCAGCTCCATCCCGCTCGTCTGATGCTAGGTCAGGCGCGGGCGGGGCGTGCACTTCTCTGATGTGTCCGCGGGGCCCCTCCAGAGCCTGGAAAGGCGCGGCGCGCTTCGAGCCGGGCGGCACATTACTGACAAATCCCTCTAACGCCAAGCCCAGATCGATGAAGAACAGGCAATGGAGGTCCACGGGGGCCTCCACCGCCGGGGCATACGGGCTCTGGTTGCACGCGTATATTCGGGTTCTGAGGGTCTGGGCGACATGGCGCATGGCCGTCGCCATGCACTTGGGCGTAGACATGCAGCACAGGCGCTGAGTGGCGGCGCCAGCAAGTGCGCAGGTGCGAGCGCGCGGCGCGCCGGGGAGTGGCATCCGCGTGCTCGAAGGGCCCCTGCGCCGTAGAATATCTGCGCGCGGAGCCCATCGGGCCCCTCACCTGGAAGATCACGCGCGCGAGCCTCGCGAGTCCCTCCATGCAGGTCTGATGAGGTCCTGTGGGGGGCCCGCGTAGTCCCGGCATCCTGCAAAACGTGTCAATATTGACTCCGCAGAAGGCCCCGCCGACAACCTCGCTGGAAAACGCACTCCTGACCGAATGCTGCTCGAGGAACTCGGTTCCCCGTAGAGAAAGTGCAGCGCCAGGAATTGTAGTTGGACCTGGAGGGCCCAGGGATTGGCCATCGGGCTCGCCGAGACGGCCTCGCCGAAGCCGTCCACGGGCCCAAGGAGAGCGACCAGGCGTTGTCGGTTGTCCTCTGGGTACGTGACAGAGCGTTGCCAATGTCAGAGTCGGCGAACCAACGGCTCTGCTCTCGCGTCAGTGATCCTCATTTTCTGGGGCACTGCTGCCTCAGGCAATGAGCGATATTCCGGTCTTGCGCCGTCTGGTGCGTCTGCTGCGAACTCAAGTCGCGATCTCTCAGGGCCGCCCGTGCAAATCCACAGGTCGCGGCGCCCGGACGCCTGTAGTCCAGCTTGCCTTGTAATTGCGCTTCCGGCCCCGAGTGACCTGCTGGGAGAATCATCCGCTTTCAAAAACCATACGTTTCAATCGAATAGAGTGCGTCGGCTCTCAGAATCTCCCCATCCTCCTCCATGCAGACCGAGTGGCCTCCAATCTCCTGCTGACCCCAGCCCCGCACCCCCCCGCAAGTTGCCCCACCCCCCCCAAGCAATGCGCGGGACAGGAGCGACCCCGCGGCGGTGTGGGCGCCGGGCCCCGTCATGGCTGGCATGCAAGTCTCTCTGTCGGGATCCTGAGCGAAACCTCCACCCTCCTCCAACTTCCTGTCGAGAATCTCGTTGGAGGCGACGACGCGACTGCGGGTTTCGATGGGGTCCGGGGCGCACCGATCAATAATTTGATGCATATCGTCGGCATAATCACGTACGGAAGCATCATTCATCTCACCCGTCAGCGCGCGCGACACGAATGAAGCGGCACGCGCCTGCGGTGCAAGAGCTGCCATCTCAACCGCATGAACAGCGTCTGGGCACTCCTGCAAGAGATCACGCGACGCATCGATTGGGCGTACAAAACTTCTCACGAACAACTCGCAGGCGTTCCCGTCCCCCATACCCGATCCGTGTGTAGGCTGGTAGCAGCCCTTTTTCCTCCCCGCCCTGATCTCCATCGCCGCCTCCTCATGCCACTGGTGCAAGAACACCCTGTCCTGTGGGTGCGATATGACGAAAAGCACCGCCCTGGCAAACTCCGCGTGCGAGGTGGAGGGGAAAGCGTTGGACACGTCATTCTTGACGGGGAAGTGAGAGACCCCAGGCTTCCGAAGCCTCCAGCTGTGTATTTTGGCAACAATTTGGGCCCCTTGTCGAGACCTGTGCGGGGTGTGCCCGTGGGCGTGTGGAGGGAGGGGCGAACTGGAATTCCGAATGCACAGGGCCCTGCGCCAGGCCTTACCAAGCGGGCAGTGGCAGTGCATGAGCATCATGGCATTCGTGCCCCTGTTGTGGTCCTCCTTGGAGAGCTGGAAGGTCCTACTCCAATGCAACGTCGAAGGCGTCCTCGCCTTGGCGCGAACATGGCGGAGAACACGCCGAAGGCGACCAGTAAAGTGCGGGCAGGCAATAAGCATCCTAGCTTCAACTCTGTCCAATTCTTTGGCATCGTGATTACTCGTAAACGGCCACTCTCCCGCGCGCTGTTTGGACGCTTGCATCGCGATCCAATGCCATAGCTCGGCAGGCGGACAGTGGCTTGGAGCAAAACCGCGCCTGACCGCCTTCTGAAACTGAAACAAAGTGCGGTACCAATCCTCATGAACGACAGACGCTGGGGCCATCCGAAAGTCTCGGGCCCCTCCTCCTCGGTTCGGTCGAGCTCCAGCCTTGCGGCTTCGGCTGGGCCCTCGAAGACCTTGGCGGCGAAGCCACCTTCCTTGGTCGACGCGGTGATCGCGTCGGTCCACTCCTGCAAAATCGGGCAATAAAAGTCTGGAGCGTTGTATGCCCTCTGCCGTGGGCCTCTGCAGCAAACGCCGATCTAGTGCACCACCTTCCACAGGTTGCTGGTGTCGTTTTCTTTCGTGTGCAGGTCGGCCTCTTCCAACAGTGCTTCCACATGATTCACGTACAACGTCCATGCGCCTCCAGTCTTACTTGGTCATCGTGTCAAGCTTCCGAATCCGATGGGGTCTCTTATACCGCGGCGCCTCTCGAGAAGGGCCGCCCGTTCCTTGTTGTACACCTGCATGTTCTCAGGCACTTCCGTCCGAAGCTGTAGCTCAGGGAATGCTGCGTTCCGAAGGTCATCGAGGAAGAAGAGAACAAAGAGGAGGATATGTAGTAGTAGGAAGAAAGGGGATGTGGAGGAGGGGAAGGATCAGGAGGAGGACGAGGAACATGATGGGCTGGTTAATGTCCCAAAGAAGTTACGAGAAAAACTATGGGGAACAGTTTAAACAAGAAAGCTCGTTTTCCCAGCTCTGTGGTGCGCAAGTAGAAAACAAGAGGAAGGCGGGGCAAACTGGACCGCCGTAGGTGTCCCCGCGACCGCCATCCTGAGGCCATCTTAGGCGTCTTGGAGCGCTCTTGGGCTGTCTTGGGAACCTCTTGGACCGCTCTTGGAACTCTTGTGGCGCCCTCAGTGGGCATCTTCGACCTTCTGGCGCGATCCCAGCGCGGTCCCGGGCCCCCGGGGCCCCCATGGGGCGTCGAAGGGCCGCCCTGGGAGCCACCAGCCCTGTTCCCCGGTGTGTATATAAATATATATATATATATACAAACATACATTATAAATGTATGTATTTATGTATGTATGTATGTATGTATGTATGTATGTATGTATGTATGTATGTATGTATGTATGTATGTGTGTATGTCTGTGTGTGTGTGTCTGTCTGTCTGTCTGTCTGTCTGTCTGTCTGTATGTATGTATGTATGTATGTATGTATGTGTATACATATATATATATATATATATATATATCGCAATTACATATGAACATGTTTGTGTATAGATACACATGTATATATAGAGAGAGAGAGAGAGAGAGACAAGATCCAGGGTCCGCCCCCCCACCCCCCCCCCCTCATGCGATGGCCCACCCCCTGGGGGGCCGTGGCGTGATGGGGTCTTCCCCTGTGGGCGTGCGGTGGTGGGCATTGGGTCCCCCCCCCCCCATCAGGGAGGAAAAGGAGGAGGAGGAGGAGGAGGAGGAGGAGGAGAGGAAGCGACAGAAGGGAGCAAGATAGGGAAGAGAACGCCAAGGAACGAGGAGAAAGGGATGAGCAGGGGGACAGAGGGAGAAGGAGAAACAACATCGTCGTCGACGGTGTTTTCCCAATCGTCGCCTCCCTCTGGGTGTGGCGTGGTGTAGCGGTGCTTCAGGGGCCGGAGCGGACGTCGTCGTCGTCGTCGTTGTTCTCGTCGTCGTCGTTGTCGTCGTCGTCGTCGTCGTCGTCGTCGTCGTCGTCGTCGTCGTCGTCGTCGTCGTCGTCGTCCCCCCCATCCCATCTCGGGGGGAGGGGGGACCGAGGGACCCTGAGACCCATTCCATCTGGGGCGGGAACCCTGGGCGCGGAGCCCGGGAGCACATGTCAATCGCATCGCTCCGGTCTCCGTGGAATATTTTCCAGGGGGACAGTTGGAGAAAAATGATGATCCGACAGCGATTTGATGGCAGTCGCGATCAAGCGTGGGCGCAGGGGGGGGCCTAACTCCTCATAGGTTTTGGGCATGAATCTGGAGGCAAGAGAACAGCGTCAGCGCTCGGACCCCCAAACAATTGATACGTGGTCTTCCTGTGTAACATGACGTATGACGTGTTTGGTCGGGGACTGCAGCTGCGGATACGTTCCCAAAGCAGGTGGCCAATTCGTGCTGAGCGTGCCCCGCACTCGCACCACGTGAACTGCCGGCTGCATTCCGTCGGCGCGCCAGAGGGGAAACATGTTTCTGTACGTGCATGTGTGTGTGTGTGCGCTGCGCGGTCTCGCTTGTCTCCTCCTGCTCTGCCCCGCCTCTCTCCTTGCTGCCTCGCTTCCTCGGCCACTCCTCGCTGCCCTGCCGTGCCCGCCCTCGCCAGGCCCTCGGCCCGCCGGCGTCAAGCTCTCGCCGGCCTCCGCGGCAGCCGTCCCCGTTCATCCCCACTCACGGCTGGCCCCCCATGGGGTGTCCCTCGCACCCTGCCCTTCCCCTCGACTTTGCACCACCCCGCTCGGCGGCTGCGTGCGAGCTCGGCGCGCTCCTCGCTCTCCGCTTGCGCGGCTCGGCCGTGTCGCTGCGCGCACGGCCGCGACGCCAAAAAACATGTATGTGTGCGTTGTGCGTGTGTTGTGTGTGTGTGTGTGTGTGTGTGTGTGTGTGTTGTGCGTGTGTTGTGTGT